TAGCATGCCATTATATAGGCAGCCCTAAAGTCAGTCATCTTTTGTTCTCAGCTCACCCTAAATCCTTGAGCTATCAGAATGGGCACGGCCACATATAAACTTTTTAAGGCAAAGCAAGTTTTTAGGTTTGCAACAGATAAAAACTCAATACTAAAAACTTCCTATAGTGCTAAACAAGAATTTGGTCTGAAAATATGTAGATATCTTGCGCAGAGACATTACTTTGTAATAGTTTTAGAAATATAAAGTAAATGCAGCTATACACGGGGCGATTATTCTTACTCTTTCAATCCTGTTGCAAACAACAACAAAAAAAAAACCCCATTGAAACAGATTAAGGAAGCCTACCATTTTAAAAATGGTGGGGATGATGAGTTTCTGTCCATGGCCATCAATCGGCTATGACACAGGAGAGTTGTTCAACTCAAATCGATATACTGTAATACTGATACTGTGATAATTAAAAATTTTTCAAGGTTAGCATATATTGCAACAAAGTGTAAATATGAATGTGTACAAAGAAAATACTACAGCTGATCTCTCCATCTGAAAATATTAGTTACCCACTGTCACACTAATCAACAGTTTAAATACACAAAAAATAAATATAAATACAAGTGAGCCAATAAAAAGCAGCTAGCACAAGAGATGAACCCCTTCAGCCACAAAAAAAATGAACATATAAAAGTGCAGCGCTGAGTGATTAATAGAAATAGCATAAATAAAAAAGCTCATGGGTAATATATATATATAAAATATATATATATATATATATATATATATATATATATATATAACTTCTATATATGTGAAAGTGAAATATCCTACGTGAAACAGAAAAAAATCTTCAGTGGTATGGTGTGATAACCAGTAATCAAAACAAATGTGCCGTGAGGGCAAAAAAAAAAACCCCCATCCGTGGCAGTCCTCCACCACTATGCATGCACCAGAAATAAAAGATTAGACTAAGAGCAGAGAAATCCCTCCAGGCAACGTAAAGCTCCTCAGCCATAGGAATCTCTTATGGTGTACCAGAAGTGGAATGGAACAAGCTCTGAAAAGAGATCTTTCCAATAAATAGCTCCTCCACTATAGAAATCTCATCTAGTGTACCAGTAGTGGAGCCAGGAAGGAGTGAAGGAATATTCCCAGGAAGTAAAAAACGTGGGAGGATAACCAGGAGGCTCTTATATCTCCTCCAGAGGATGGACTTCAGTGTCTTGTATGGAGACGTCTCTGGACTCCTTTATTCACCTTCCAGTGAAAAATGGTGGACTCCCCTGCACATCTTCACTATCAGGGTGACCAAGAATGTAAATCTCTCCAGCAGGCACACACACTGCAGTTTCATCCCAAACTCAGTCCTCCTCCTCCTGGCCCGGGCTGCGGTGTGTGCGCCTGCTGGAGAGAATCACATTCCTTGTCACCCTGAGAATGAAGATGTGCGGGGGAGTCCAAAATTTTTCACTGCAATGGGAATGAGTCCAGAGACATACAAGACACTGAAGTCCATCCTCTGGAAGAGATAGAAGAACCTCCTTCTGGTTATCCTCCTCACCGTTTTACTTCTCTTCCTGGGAATATTCCTCCACTTCTTCCCGGATCCACTACTGGTACACTAGATATTTCTATAGCAGAGGAGCTATTTATTGCTTGGAAAGATCTGTTTAGAGCTTGCTCCATTCCGCTTCTGGTACACCATAAGAGATTCCTATGGCTGAGGAGCTTTACATTTCCTGGAGGGATTTCTCTGCTCTTATTTCTGGTGAGTGCATATTGGTGGATGACGACTGCCACGGATGGTTTGTTTGCCCTCGTGGATGGCACATTTGTTTTGATTACTGGTCATCACACCGTATCACTAAAGAGTTTTCTGTTTCACCCAGAACATGTCACTTGGGACTTGTATATCCCCATGAGCACACATTATGTTTATATTATGCTTTATTTCTAATTGATCACTCAGCGCTGCACTTTTATATGTTCAGTTTAAATACACATATGACCAAGAACGGTTGGTGATGACACAAATGAAAGCAGAACTAAAGTTCTACTTAAAAACTGCATAGAGCTGGAGTTCTTTCGCAAAATAGACTGTGCAATTCTCCTTCTGTTTTCCTTTGTACCCTGGCCTAACAGGAGTATTGTGGAAGACAGAAGTGGAGACTGGAGCACGGACCTGTAACCACTGGAGGGTTCACAGAGGAAAACATGAAAGTATGCTGATCAAAGTTGTACATTATGGCAAGAGCCCCCCACCCAGTAGAATTTATTTCCACTTGCAGTAGGACAGGCACCTAACATTTCAGGTCAGCAATGGCAGCCTATTATATACACATTTCTCTCAATATAGGTCATCTTTAATGAAAATACATTTAATCATCAAAAGTATTCTGTCACATCAAATTAATCACAGTAACGTTTTACACAGCAATGCAATGGACATATGCATTGTAAGAGACAAATGTAAAAGCACAGACTACTTCATTAAGGTTTTCTTTTATTTAAAAGATCTTCCACAAAATACCATGTCCATTTATGTACTTTCTGTCATGAAGCAGAATGTGTAGAGTGTTTGGAATTGTCATTTAAAAATAGTCAAATGTATAGACCAGTTATGAAGTTGTCTGTTTGTTCTGTCTTAAGCTTTCCCACACAGCAGACTGAAATAAATCTAGAATAAATCTGAGGGGATGGTTCTCATCTTTAGAATATCAAACAAAGCATGTCTTATTTTATAGACTAGTGTTAGACAAATGGTTCTTATTAGCACTGAGCATGTATGGAAGAAAAGAAAGGAGAGTAAAGAGAACATGTTTGCTGAGACACTGGAGGTAAAATGTTAATTGTCTTTTTATTTAATACTGGTTTCAACTCTTACTGCCTGTGACCTGCATGTTCCAGCTGCCAGTGGCAGTGAAGAGAGTCTATATATTTAAAATATGCTAACATTAAGCTCTGCCACAATTGCTAAATTCGTATTAAGAAGCTAACTTTTAGGGCCAGAGGAGGGTAAAAAAAAAAAAGCTGCCAAAACACACTTCATACAACAAAACAAAGGAACAAATTTGGTAAGAAACTGCTCTAAGGCCGTGCTCACATAGGCACTAGAAGCAGAAGCCTGCACAACCTCGGGTAGTGTGTCACCTGGCCTTTAAACACTCCACAGCATTGGAACGATGAAAGCCATTGGATCTGCATCATCATACAGGCCAGGCATTGCAGGCAACATTCGTAGCAGCATGACACAGTGTAAAGCAAAGGATCATTTGAGTGTTTACATACCTGAGCTGACCCTTTCACCCCTGAAGTCAGGGGGTGCTTGGCAGGCACTACAAACACGTGCTGTATGCCCCATTTTAAAGCAGAACTAAACCCATTAAAACAGAACCTCCCCTATGCCTGTTGCTGCATCTTACTAAAAAAACAGCCCACAAGACCCTTTATATGCTTAGGGGTTGATTTACTAAAACTGGAGAGTGCAAAATCTGGTACAGCTCTGCGTGGTAGCTAATCCACTTCTACCTTCAGCTTCTTCAATTAGGCTTTGACCATAAAACCTAGAAACTGATTGGTTTCTATGCAGTTGCACTAGATTTTGCACTCTCCAGTTTTAGTAAATCAACCCCTTAGTGTCTGTGTAAGACTGCTTCCTCAAAAAGGAGTGTGATCCCACCCCTGGCCACAAGTAAACCAAAGAGAATCAGGAAGAAGCACAAGCCTAGTACACAGAGGGAGTCCAGTCATTTCACCAGATAAGTATCCCTAGGGTGTTCCTGGCTGTTGTGGGCATAGGGTAACAAGAAGAGCAGTAAATGCTGGCATGTTTTATGGAGTTTTTGTCCACTTTAAAGCTTCTACAAACAGGAGCTCAAGCAGCAAGGGTACAGAGTGCATAATGCTATGGAGGTTGTCCAAACTAGCACAAATGCTAGTAGTAGATCCAAAACGATGCAGACTCCAAAAATTAATCAAAAGGATGTAAAGACCTGGCAATGTGCTGGATGCTATTCAGAGTAAAAGTGACAAACTGCAAAAAAAAAAAAAAAAAAGCAGTATACTTAAGGCTTAACTTAACTTAGCGTCTGAAGACCTATAAAAAAAAAAATATATATCTTTTATTTCTGTATGTTAGAAAGTCTTAAGTAGCAGCAACATAAAATCTTTCCTATGAAAATTTTTAGTGCGAGTTTTCTTTCCAACTCTTACCCAATCCACAAATTGCCTTTGCTGATTTTATATATAGTTATCACAATACAGCACGGTGTCTATTTAATTGTGAGATACATTTCAGAGTAAATTAGACACATGTGATAGGTTAAGCCATATATAAGTAAATTCTATTTATCAAGTTAAATAAAAATAAAACAAGATATTTAGACAAATCTTCTCCACATGGAAAAGTGTATAGTACACTGTATACAGAGTAATAGGGAGGTGTTCGTGGTAAAGGCTTAAAGCCAAAAAACGTAGTCATGTCAAGTTTAAAAGATACCAGGTGGCGGGCTCTTTAATCCATGGCACATAAACGTGCCAGGTTCTACCATTTCACAGAGTCTTGGCAATACAGAACGAAACATGCAGGTTAGAAGTGAAGCAAAGCACTAGGTAATTCAGGGGCAGCAAATTCGAGTGTTGGCATAATAACACATGTGCCCCCAAATTAAACAGAAAAGGAAAATGTACTGAAGAAACTGCAATTCATCTCAAGTCCAAAATGAATTTCATTTTTCAGAGGAATCCTTCCCTGCAGGATGGCATCCTGCAGCTAGCAAGAGGAATAGAGGTGGAAACAGCACAATGCAGGTACTAGATACAGAAAAGCAGAGAACGTACTAAAAACCACTTGTTAACAGCTGACATGCATTCACAAGCTCAGTGTTCAGTTTCAGACAGGAGGGAAATGAGGAGTGAATGTCAGGAGGCAGGAATGGTAACTGCGGGGTTGATGATCCAGAGTGACCAGCTTACTCTCTCCTCTGTCCCTCCCAACCTTCATCTCAATCTTTTTCCTTTGTTACAGCTTCTTCTCTGGGTTTGGCGCCACCAAAGATTGCAGAGTTTGGATTGGCTACTTGATTGAGGGGAGTTCCAACCGTCCTTGGTTTAAGCTGGAGACGTGGCCTCTGTGCTCTCTCTTCTGGGAGAAATAACAAATATGGTCATAGCAGTTCAAACCACTCAACTACACTACACAAACCTCAGGTAGCTTAAAGAGGGGGAAAAAAAAAAAAAAAAAAAAAAAAAAAAAAAAAAAGGGGGACATCCTCATCTATAGGGTAGAAATATTTCCCTACATTTTAGCAGCACTGGACCATATAGTAAATCATAGTTATTCTTGCAAACAGTTAAAAATTACCCAGCCAGTACAATGCAGAATGGAACAGGTTTACGGTAAACCCTTTTTGATGCCAGCGCAGTGTTTTTTATGCACATTAAAAAAAAAAAAAAAAATTTCTGAAAGCAGACACCGGAGAACAAAATAAATAAAAAATTTGTTCCAATTTTGGACCCATATAAGCGTAACAGTTTATCAATTGCAAATGTCAGTAGCAAGTACATTTTTTTTTTTTGTAGCAGACAAATGCAATATAGTACTAATGTTTTTATAAAAAATATAAAAAAGTGCTAGTACAAACCCCCCCCCCCCCCCCAATGACCCTTTTTTTGGAAAGTAGACACCCAAGGAAATTTGATTCTGTTTTTTTCCTTCTTTTCCAAAAACACGTGGCAACAAATGAGCTCTGCAAAATACTCACCATGCCTCTTAGCAAATACCATGGAGTGTCTACTTTCCAAAAAGGGATTATTTGAGGGGGTGCTTCTACTATCCTGCCATTTCAGGGCTAACATTAGAAGCTTACGTCACACATCACCCGCTCTTCTAACCACTTGAAAACCAAGCCTTTTCTGACACTGGTTTACTTGAAAAACATTTTTTTTGTTCAAAAATTACTTTGAACCCCCAAACATTATACACTCACATAGAACGGGAAGCAGTTAATGCACAAAAACACAATATATTGCTCAAGTGCTTGATAAAATATAAAGGATGATGTTACGATGAGTCAATGTATACCAAACATGCCAGGTTTTAAAATTGCAAAAATTTGTAATATCCATAGGTGACGTTTTAACCACTTGACATCCACCCTATTGCAGAAGTACTGCTACAGACGGCACAGATGCGCAAAATCACAGTGTTTGCATGTCCAGGCTGCTCTGTGCAAAACCACTGCACACATCAGGTAAATATAGACATGTTTGTTATTTGACACAAAAAAAAAAAAAAATGAACCTTTAGAATCGCTTTGATTCAGGTTGGGATTGTCCAGTGAATGGATCAACAAGACAAGATATAGCTCTTCTCATTGCCCAATGTGAACAGCAGCCATGAACCTCCGCTTCATGCATAATGCTGCATATTACATTTTCCATATTGTCTGTTCAATTCTTAAACACAGGATGCTGTGAGTAGCCTACGGAGCCCATCAGAGTATTCTCTGCATAAACACAGCAGATCGCAACTTGCAATTGGTGAAGAGATTGGTCACGTGACCAACAGGTCATGTGACTGGGCACTTTTTGCAGCTTGTAGTTTTTGTTTTCTATTCAATTTAACTATGGTCTTTTATAAAGAAGCAGTATGGACACAGTAAGACCATACTGCTGCTTCACAAATAGGCCTCTTATTAGGAACACAGTTGTTAAAAACAAAACAAACACACGACAGCTTTTCAACCTTCTGTGGGTTCTCTGAAGTCCATGGAGCCAGCACGTGGTGCATCTCTGTAACGGCCAGATCCTGAAGGTGGAGGCCCTCGTCTGTCAGCAGGTGCACTGCGACCTCCTCTACCTCTGCCTCCTAAAAAGTCATCACCCCCAAAGCCTAAACCAAAAATAAGAACACAAGAAATCAATTTATAGCCTGCTGAAGCTTTACAACTTAAATGTGGACACCGGTTTGAAGAATACATACTAAACTACTGTAGTCAGCAAAATAAAACTTTAGTAAGATTTGCTTTTCAAAACATACTTTTCTATTTACATTGCCACAATAAAGACATAGTTTTACTTTGTACAATCAGTAAGGACAGTAAGTACTACATACACAAAAAAGTAACATCTCAAAATCTAGCAAGCTTTCATCAAAGAATGGTTCAAAATGCATTAAACCTATCCTCAGTGAAAAAAACAAAAACAAAAAAAAAACATGGAGAACAAAACAAGTAGATATGACCACCAGTTTAAAGCTGAAGTCCAGGATGACTAAAAAATGAATGCAGTTTAAAAGTTAAAAAGATAAATCTAAAGCCAGCACCCCCTCCATCATTTTGACTAGAACAGGATGAATCTGTTGTCAGTATTTTTTTTTCTTATCCATTTAAGATATTGAGATTCCTCTCCACTTACTGTATTGCAGACTCAACAGGAAGCAATGTGCAAGGAATCCTCTCTAAGGGCTTGCGTACCCTTGCCGTTTCTGTGAAAAGTGATTCACAGTGGATCTCTTTTCAGAGAGCAAGGGGGCAAATGGCAGTCTTTCAAAGAGGCAATATAGCCACCCTCTGAGTGCCCGTTTTTTTTCCAGCCAATTTTTTTTTTTTTTTTTTTTTTTTTAATAGAAACAATGTGCCACATCCACTTCCCTAGCATTTGGTTCGTGATTGTAGCACAGCCCCATTCAATTGAATATGTGGGGTATGGCAGCTGTACTGCCTGCTGAACAAGAGAGGGGAGATCATTTCTAACAATCAGAAAAGCATCGCACCATATATACACCCCCATATAACTGCTTTAGCAGCTTAAGAGGGGCAGTTAAAACACAGCTACACTGCTTATTTTTACCAGCCCCCATCCTCAAGTGTAAACTAGGTCTACAACTAGTGGTGCACCAAAAATAAAAATTCTGGTGCCGAAACTGATAACGAAAATTCAGAATGCATGTAGCCAAAAACCAAACCAAAATGTCTGCGTATGTGAGGGTGGGGAGGCTCCAATTTTTTTTTTATTTTTTTTTCTACTTTCATGTATATTTGTACTTTTTTTTTTTTAACTTTTATTACTATCAAATAGGGGACCAATAGTCCCCTATGTGACAGCATATATGAGTGACAGGCACTCATTGTAGGGGGCAGTGTGTGGAAGGAGAGGAGCAGTGTATATAGAGAGGCTCTCTCACTGGCTGTCACTATGTCGGTGCCGGTTTTTAAATGCAATTGCCAGCTTTTTTTTTTTTCCTTCACTATAGCTCACAGAATTAGCTGTCACTTTCCCTGGAGCTAAAGGAAACTGTTTCTTTTAACTCGGGGAAAGAAACTAAAAAGGAAACTTGTTTCTTTTAGCTGGGGGGGAAAAGTGACAGCTAATTCTGTGAGCTATAATGAAAAAAAAAAAAAAAAAGCGGTAATTACATTTAAAAATCGGCACTGACATATAGCGACAGCCAGTCACTGTATACACTGCTCCTCTCCTGCCTTTCTCAGCCATTCCCCCCACCCCCTCACATCTGCAGTACACACAGTCTCATGTATCGGCTAAATTTTTCCTATTGGCCAAATGCTGATAGGGCTATTTTCGGCCGATATGTTTTGGTGGCCGAAATTTCGGTGCATCCCTATCTATAACAGTTCTCAGGAGAGCATGTGCTCCCTCTGGAAGGAGTCCCCTAAATACCCGTTCTTGTGGCAAACACAAACTTTAGATTTAGCCTCACTTTCATTCCCAGTTGGTGATCAGGCCAATTAATGAGAGCGAACCTCCCTAATTAGGTCATGTGCCAGAAATGTAACTGTCACATTTGCTTGTGGTCTCAACCAAACCATCAAATGGCTGGTGTCATAACTGATCACAGGGTGCAGCACCATGGCAGCTGAAGATCAAGCAGACAGCAGCTTCCTTGGCTGAAAATGATAGGAGGGTTTAGTTCGCCTTTAACTATCATTTTCAAAGCACATAAGTTAGTTCACATTTACTGACTTTTGCCACAAACCAAAAATGCTTATTTTTTTCAGCCCCTCATTTCATTGCCCCCCCCCCCCCCCCCCCCCCCCCCCCCCCGGTATGCTGCATGTTAATGGATTGAGAACACTGCATAATGAGGTTTGAGGCAAAGGTTAGTAAAGGTGAACAACATAAGCCAATGACCATCTCAATTCTCAAACACTTTTTATGAGCATCTGGAAAAAAACAAACATTAAAGTATATCTAAAAGAGTCCTATATGGCAATCTAAAACCAGGTGTCTAAACAGGTCTCAAATCTAATTACTATGCTAAAATTACTATTAATTACAGTGACAAAAAAGCCTCATGGATACAAAAAAAAAACAAAAAAAATTTAAAAGTTAAATTACCTCCCTTGAATCTGCCACATCTTCCTTAATTTGTTTCACATGCCTTACCACTCCCCACCATTGCAAACTCTGCAGCTTACTTTGGAATCAGCAAAGACAATGCTGATATCCATGCCTCCTGTAACATTTTTACTGAAGCACAAGCAGTCACAGCCTGCATGATGCTTTCAATTTATTAAGTGCAGGAGGGTTGTCTCTCTACCACAAGAAGCTGCGTGAGGTGATCTTCCTTGGCAAGTTCAGCAGTTATGAAATTTTGCAGGCAGTCCAAGGGAAAACAGTAAGTGCAGATGCATGTAAAACATTTTTTTTTTACATGGAAGGCCATAGTTTTACTTTAAGATATTTTAGATTGGTTTGGATTTGGTTACCAAAGAAAAGGTCTACCACAACTTTAAATATATATTATATAGGGTGTGCTTGTTGGAGCCCAACTTCTGTAGCTGTAGGATAAGGAGCCTATTGAGCATGCTCTGAAATGCATTACCACCCCCTTCACCTCCTACATCTGACTCTGCTCTCCTAGCTTCATTTTGATGCACAGGCACATCCTGGACTCTATTTCCTGATCCTAAAGACAGATTTTGCTGCTGGATGGCTGATGTCCCACCTGGATCTAATTACCACACGATGAGTCTTTAACTATTTATCTTGTAAGTGCAATTTATCCATTGTTTACTAAATAAAAATTGTCAATACTGCACTTAGAGGCGCCTTCCTCTCTTTTTCTTGCTACCACAGCTTTAGACAACTCAACGCAAAGATGACTAAACACTAGCTATTGCACATCGCAATCAGATTTCAGTTTGTATTTTTATACTGAATAATTTAGGCACCTGTTCTTGCTGCCTTTATAAGCAGCCAATGCTACTGTAGCACTTCAGCATTGCAGTTTTTAAGTATTGTAATCAGAAGTTATACATGTAAGCCACAAATGGATGAGAGAACCGCAGATAGAAATTCTGCAGAGTGGAAGATGGACTATATACTTGTTGTACATTTACATGTTATTACCTCTACATACTTCTATGCAAAACAAAATATTTAATATAAAGTTGACTACTGTAAAATTACAGGAAAAAAAAAAAAAAAAAAAAAACACAAAACAGAAGCAGATAATAAAGTAGAACTCCACCAAAAACCTTCTGCTCAGTTACAAGTGAAAAGGGTCCAAAAGTTCCAAACATCACCACATTACCTGCTTTAAGTAACACCGATTGTGTCAAACTGCTGCGTAACCAAGGGGTTTTCAACCTTAAGAGTGCTTGCTTGTTTCTTACCCTTAGATCTTCTCCATTGGAAAACAAAGCATTTACACAGACAGGGTATGGTGGGTTCCACATTTGGATCACAGAACTAAAACCCAGACATACCTTGTCCACCACCAGAAACAACAACAAAAAAGTAGGAAAGGTTATGTTTTATTCCAGCAAACACCAGAAAGGGTACAATATCTACCCTTAGAAGGTTTAAAGATCAGAAAACAGTATTTTAAAAATAGTTTTGAAAGTAAAGATAATAATGGTCGTGAAGTACAAAAACCCACAAAATTAAAAGCCAGGAGATATAGGAAAATAAAGTGTTAGATCAGATAAAAAGGTCAGTACTCAAACAGAATTTTCCACCATAGTGATACGCGTGAAGGTTGTCAGCAAGTACAAATGTATCCTTTACCAGAGTTGAAGTCATCTCTTGGAGCCCCTCTAGAGCCGAAACTATCAGGTCCTGAAAAAACAAGGCAATATCGAAATGAAATTAATGCTGAAAAAGCAGATTTATGCATTTATTTATCTTTTAAAGCGGAATTGGAGGCCAAATCCCAACTGCATCGGTTAGCCAACAAGTGTGAAAGAAGTTAGCACAAAATAAAAAAACACATCAAAACATTTTCAACTGGAAAAAAAAAAATAAAAAAAAAAAAAAAGACAAAAATTGCTCACTATTTATTCTACATAAAAAGGCCACAGATTTTAGAAGGGTAGGCATTCTGCCATGATTAGCAATAAAAACATTGCGTTAAAAACCATTACACAAAATGTCAGAGAAAGAAAACATTGCCCCTGCTAATACGTGCTCACATCAAGAATAGTACCTCTCCTTACTTTAGTTAGGTAACCTTTTTAAAAGTAACAATTCTGCCATGCAAATACCTGTGAAGTAAACCAATTCTTGGAGGAAAGCTTGCTTTGATACAACATACCAAGTAGATTTACTTTCTTACTGATGCAACAATAATGTGGAAGGACAGGAACCAGAGAATATACACTTCAGAATTGCCAAAAAGAACAACTCCAGTTTCTAAGTGCCATTTCTAAGTTCCGATTTTTGAGGTAAACCTAACTTTGGTTAAACTTTTTCTTAAAAAAAAAAAACTACACAGTAAATTAGAGACACTGAAAAATGGTTTGAGGATTGTGTCCCTAAAAGGCAGGTGTTATGTACCTTGAACTAAATTGTGGCATCTAAGATGTTTTAACCACAGCCAGATCTCTCATCAAATATGCAATGAGAGATCCGCCAGGTTTCAAATCTTCCCTAAAGCCAGGTTAACATTTATGCGGCTCTGCATGCCACATTTGCATGGGCATGGCAGTCCATTCATTTCCCTGCATCTTTTTGAAATGTTGCCACAAGGAAATCGCATGGTGCTTTTGTGCTATGTGTATTCAAGTGCAGAAAACAATCACTTTTTCAGTGCGTGGGAGTGCCATTAACTCTTAATGGCACCTTCATGCATTATTTTAATGAACTGTGTTTTGTGTGTTCAGCTGCAGGAATGCGTGCGATTTACACGCATTCTACCGCACAGATGTGAACCTAGCCTAGCACTGGACAGAACAGAGGTAGCACAAACCTCATGTTCTTCCTAAACAAAGATCATCAAGAACAGTAAAAATAAGGCTACGTTCACACTTCTCAAACGCCTATGAAAATTTTGCACATGCAGCACACAGTGTTGTTCACATGGAAGCGTTAAGTGTTGCAGCAAAACTGACGCCTCTGGTCCAGTCAGGAGAAGTTGAAGCCTCCCATTCAAGTCTATGGTGCCGCTCCGCAAACGCCTGGCCGGCGTTTGAGGTGCGGTTGCGAGGCATTTGCGGAGCGTTAATACCATTTAAACTTCATTATAGGAGTTTGTGGTGTGGTTTTAACGCTCGGCAAACGCCTATCAACCGCCTCAAAACCGCACATAGGGCGTTTTGGGAGCGTTAAAAACGCTTCACAAACCCCTGTCTAACGTTTGTCAAACACTAAAGTGGCGTTTGGCAAGAGTTAGAAATAAAGTCAAGTGTGAACGAGCCCTAAATGACAGCACTATGTAACATAGACCTTTTACTGCAAAATAGCAATCACCAATGCACATTTTGAGGGTATGCAGGATATCAGACATGCCTTGATAAAGAGGACCGGAGTATCCTTGAAACACATGCTGTTGTTCATTGCTGCTTTGCAGGGGAAAAAAAAAAAAAAATAAAAAAATATGGAGAGCTGGCCTGGAGGTAGTATGCACAAAATCTGTGTAACCATCTGTCCAAGGTGGTGGATTCCCTTCGTGGACACATGCACTTTTGCACTTGGATACATTGCGATTGATTTAAGAACTATTATCGATTGTTATTGTTTGCTGATTGATATCTAGTAATATTGTGGCCGTTCACTTATTGCACCGTTTGGCACATTATTCTACTTTACATATCTTTGATTACACAAAGAGACCAAATAAAAGAGAATATTTTATATTACTGTATCATTATTTATCTACAGATTGTGCGTTTATAGCGCTGCACTTTTATATATACATGTTTACATTGGGATTGTTGCCTACACCCTGAGTGCTAGCAGCTACTTTAATACTTACATCTATTTTTCAATTAGCGCTCGCTTGCATATTCTTATTATATACTAAAACCTGTGCACAGAGAATCTGGCACAGAAGTGCTTAGCAACCGATTAGCTAATTTGAGCTTGGTCAATTAAGCTTTGACAATAAAACCTAGATGCTGATTGGTAACTATGCACAGCTGCAACAAATTCTGTGCGCACTAGTTTTAGTAAAATCACCTCCTATGTGTGTTTGTGCAATACACATGAAGTCAGTGTTTGATATAAATGCTGTACCTAAATGGATTTTAAATTACAATGATACTATTCTGGAAATATTTGCACACAAACTCAAAAGGGTAGGTTTTTTTAAATGGCTTTAGAAACCCATTTCCTATAAGCATGCCTTACGGAAGTACACTATTGCTTGATTTCAAATTTCTTGAGCATGAATTAGAAGATGATCTACAGCCCTGCATGTGTAAAAAAAAACCCAAAACAAAAGTGGAGCTATACTTAGAATACAAGATATACATTCTGAACAATCCCAATCGACAATTAAGAAATGTTAAAAAGACTGAAAAGAACTCAGATTAAGATTAGAATTCAAAGACTCAGCAAAACAAATCACCTCTCTCATCTGCCCCTCCTTTCCTGAAACCAAAGCCACCTTTATCTTGTTTTCTGCCCTCTGCTATATCCACTCTTAAGGAACGGTCACCTAAAAGCTATATGGTAAAAAGGAGAAAAAATGTAAGCAAAATTTAAAAGAAAAATAAAATAAAAACTACATGATAACAGAGGAAACTTACTGCACCATCATATGTCAAGGCTTCTTTAAGGGATTCCAGATCATCGAATTCTACATAACAAAACCCTAATTTAAGAAAGAAAAAAAAAAAAAAAAAGTCAATAGGGGAATGATCTACAAAAAAAGTGCACATCTCCGCATTAAGTCTTCATTTAAATTTCTTCTTACCTATGAAAGGAAGCAGCAAAGAAAAGCAAACTCCTAAAATATTTATGAGTATTTTGAAAAAGGAACTACTCCAGGGACTTTATTGCAATTTAGTTATTTGAACATGACACACGTTCAGTGGTACCACCGTTAGCCATAAAGATAAGATATCTAAAAAAAACTCCTCTGTTGAGTGTATATTTAGCTGCTTTATGCCTCCCTGATTGAATCCTAAAAATTACTCTTCCCTCGCAAGAAGTGAACTCTGGCATAGCTCTCCCTATGGGACTACCGGATACTATTTTACCAATGTTTTGGTAAAATGTGATTTAATCTATGACTCTTAGGTGAAATAAAATGATTGCATAATGCTATTCAGTATAAGGAAATTGATGAACAGATTACCGTATTTTTCGCCGTATAAGACGCACTTTTTCTTCCCCAAAACTGGGGGGGAAATGTCAGTGCGTCTTATGGAGCGAATATGGAGCGGCCGGTCCGGTATTTCCACCGTGGCCGTGTCAGAATACCGGGCCGGCTGCTCAGCTCTGCAGCGGGACCTTACCTGTTCCTCTATCCAGCGGCGTGCTGTCTTCCTGGCTTCTGTAGTGTGGGCACTGGGCATGACAGCCGAGTGCCAAGTGCGCATGCGCAATAAGCGGTGCTTTTTGTGAATGGTAAGGCGGTACCTGGGACACGACAGATTTTTTTTTTGTAGTTCAGAATTTTTTTTTTTTTTTTCCTGTTTTCTGCCTCTAAAACCTAGGTGCGTCTTATGGTCAGGTGCGTCTTATACGGCGAAAATACGGTATACAGATCATTCGGGAAATTAGTTTAAGGAAAGTTGCTTGTATTCAGTACACTGCCATTGTGCTGCCAAAATAATATCACTTTTTTACATTTATTTTTCAAATGCAACTAATGCACGAACATGAAAATACATAGATATTAGCCTCTTGTACAGCAGCACTTAAGTCAGCCTCAAAAAGATTGAATCTCAGCCGGTTCAGCAGGGACCAGCTGATACTCGAACCATCTATGAACAGGCTGGTTGTACTGGAGTCTATCCATTGACAGACTTCAGTACAACCAGCCTATCAGCTTTTTTTTCATGCAGTTACTGCTGGTGGATATGATCATTGTGTTCTGCTGGTGGTTAGCCCTCCCTGCTGGCAGAACACAGCAGATCAAAAGTGCAACGCAGGCTCCTACAGACTGTCAGTGTAAGCTGTCTTCCTCGTACAGGCGGGCAGTTACTAAATGACAGGAAGACTCAATGAACCAGCTAGAGTGCTCACTGGCACCCTGGTAGTTTATTGAGAACTAAAAGCCATCAGCTACAAAAGCTGTTAGTACTTGTAGTTCATTCATGCACAGATCTCTGTGAATGATGTGACCGCATGGGTGGAGCCCGGCCCTGTGCTTTTCAAAATTGTGACAGCTGGCTGTCACAATCAGGGGGGGTTGGGGAAATAGTGGAGAGGCTGCAGGAGTGGGAACATGTTACATTTGCCATGTTAAAAACGGATGAAACATGTAACATGTTCCCAAAAGGAGAACTTCTCATTTAAAGAATAAAAAGGACTTAATTGAAGCCCTGATCATACTGTTGTGCTGACCAAGTGCACATACATTAAACTACACAACGTATTAAGGCAGCTTATTCATTTGTTTGGAATGAGTGTCCCCTCATTACACCAATGCATGTTAAAAACCTGTGCAACAGTGTGAAAGGGTCTTCTACATCATCTCATTCACTGCCACATGCTGGGCAGTGAAGCTTAGACTCAATTACTATAAAAGTCTACTTCTAAAATCAAAAATAAACTAGGCTTTTTCTTTATAAAAGATTAGACACTGTGCTTCTAAGGTCAATAGGCCAGAAAGCTTGATCAAACTGAATTACAGAGTGAGGGCTCTTGTACAAAAACTTTGCTATTAAACGCGGATTGCTCTTCAGATTGCACACGCCACAATTTATAGAAAAGCATTGCAGCCACAGCATATGCACGCCCCCAGCCCCTGCAGCTAAAGGGGGAAAAGGTAAAAACGTAGCTCAACCAGAGGGTTTTACTGCTCCCCAACTACTAGTGTAAACAAGTCGTAAAAATAGTTAATATCCATTTTAGAGTTTTTTTTCCGCATAAAAAGGGGATAAATGCATGTCATTCAATATCAAGGAATAACACAACATACGTTTCAAAAACTAAATCTTAAAGATATCTGAAGATGAAGGAAGCATATGGTTACCTTTGAACTTATCTGTCTCCTTGTCTCTGACTAGTCGAACACTCCTCACACTCAACTCTTTAAAAATGGCATCTATGTCTCCTTGTACAGTATTGAATGGAAGATTACCCACGTATGCTGTGAAAGGTGGGTCTGTAGGAAGCTCTTTCTGTTTGCGAGGACCAGGGCCAGATTCACCACGCCGGGGCCTGAGAAAGACAAGGCACATTTAAAAGGGATTCTCCCCAAAAGCTATACATAAGAAACTAAACATAACCCCCCCCCCCCCCCCCCAAAACCTTCAAACCAAAGGGCAAGTATACATCTTAATTGTGTATGGATTGTGAAAATGTGAGAATGAGGTATCAGACTTCCCCAAGCATATATGTTTAATGGGTTACCCATCTAGAAAATAGGGAAGGGGACTATGACTGACTAAATGGAATAAAAATTAGATGAGCTCTTGCAAAGACATTTGCAAAACATACAACTGAGCACAGGTTTGAGAATTTACCCCCTTTGTAGACTCTTCAGAAAAATACTGTTGCAAAGTTTTTAGTAAAAATGTAACGTAAAGTGACCATATCACTAGGAAAAAAATAAATACACACACAAAAGCAGCTTGTAAAAGAATGTACTTACCATTCATATTACCATTTGTTACTCCCTTGCAGAGCTACAGATACCAAGGTTCTCTTCAGCATCTGTATACTTCTGTGTGTCAGATAACTGCTACCCCTGTAGCATGCTACTAAGTTTATAGAGTATCCCTGGGAGTTTACAGCCTAAGATTTTTGCAGTTCAAAAGGATCCCCAACCAAAAGAATAAACAGTGCAGCCTTGAGAACTTATATAACCCCTACAGCAATCTACGCTATGCAAATAGAAAAGACACAACAAGAACTAATCATATACAGCTGCTGTGATAGGGACATCACTAGCAGCAATGTGGATATATTTTACCATGTCATCATGCCAATGTAAAATGTTTAGAGCCCACCACTGACCCGCTCCTCTTTAAAAATCAATCAATCTACCCAGTCCAACGAGGGTCTAATATATATATATATATATATAAATAATAAATTTGCTGTTCAAATAACTCTGTATTTGCATAAAAGTCACAAATTAATACATGTAATGTTTGTAATATGTGTGAAATGCCAGTTTCTATATGATACCTTCTGCAGGTAGACTGTAATGCTCCCAAACATTCAATCTCAAGTGAAAAGCCTTAAGAACAACCAATTTTAGAACTGGTTGAATGTTCTTAACACCATGTGCTAAAAACATTCAAATGAGAAACTATTATAAGGGAGACCTCTTCCCTATGTTCAAAGTGTACGGAGATTCCTGTGCTTTCCACACAGGAAGGGCTCATGTACACTGCAGCTGATAAACTCATGTTTAGGAGCTGTTCAGCATTTTTTCAGCAGCCCCTGAACTCTCCCTAATGTTTTCCTATATGTCCATGTACACATCTTCGTTTATAGTCATTTACAAGCATTTGAGTTTACATTTTTTTGTTGGAACGCAGAAAACTTGCATTCAGCAGTCGATTTTATCAGCGTTTCAAACGCAAAACGCTTGTAAACATGGCAAATTGCGTTTATAAGCGGTTAAAATTTTTTTTTTTTTTTCAACTCTTCCAGTTCCTGATGCTGTCCAGAGCCTTTTTTCCCCCCCATCATGAAAAATGCATGCAAAGCGTTTTTCAAGGTACTCAGATGGACAAAACACTGAACACAGGATGTTCCTACCAAGCTTGTCATGCATTGTAATGACCAATTCACACCTCAGACCTCTCCCACCCTTGGAAACAAAAGATATGTTAATGACCATTCACACCTCAAATTCCTCATGCAGACCCCCTGCCAGGTGACCTTAATGACTCCCTCCACCAGACACCTTTCCCACCCTTGGAAACAAAAAAAATATTAATGAGCAACTCACACCTAAGTTAATCTCAAGACATACTGCTGTCTCTGCTTCTACTCTGTGTTTCTCTGAAACAGTCTGAAATAGTTAATAATTTACCACTTTTCAGTGCATTCATGCATTTGGGAAGTTCTCCTGTCCTTATCTTTAAAAAACGCGTAAACACACAAAACGCGTTATGCAAATGCGGCTAAACAGATGTTTTTTAACCTACGTTTTCCAGCAGTTTCCATTGCTTAGAAGTGTCCCGTGTATATGGGACCTAATGAATCAGCTACTGTAAAGTGAACAGCTACAATGTTGCAGACACAGAACTCTCTACCATTTGCAAGGCCTCCAGCACACGGTACTGATGTTTGAGAATCTGCTGTTTTGGACGTAATTACAGATATTTGTTTTGCGTGTATTCATGCATGTATTCGCATGTTTGTGCGCATATACATGCACAATATATTCTTAGGCAAAAACATTTATGCTCATATGCACGTATTTACGCATATTCAAGCACAAATGCGCAAACATGGCGTAAATTACTGACCAAGAAATGCAAATTTTCCTTTTTTTTTGTTTTACTGAAGAATACAGTACACGTCTGTGTGCAAGGGCACATTGAAAATAATGGGCTATATTTTACATCAGTAAACAAAAAAATGCTGTGCTGAGCTTTTTCAAGCTGCAGTGTGCAAGAGGCCTAAAAAGTTATAGCTCGTAAACTTGTCAAACAAATTTAGTCTCTGCAACCCTATCAATTCCATATAACTGTCAACTGTGCAAATGCTGATGCATTACACTGTGTTGGTGACCACAGGAATGTCTATACCAGCTTTTTTCAACCAGGTTGCCTTCCGGGTTCTTTAGGGGTGCCTTGGCAAAATGACTAAAAACTGGGTAAAAACTATTAACAAGCCAACAAGCGGTTCAAGCCTGCCTTTTTGTTACAAACAGCCACAGGTTAGTATTATGCAGCATTTTACAATCTTAGGCACCACACAAGCCAGCCACTGACATCCCAACAACATCATTAGTTGATAGCATGCTTGTTTGCCCCTCTCTGTCAGCACGGAGGGGTCAGGATAAAGTGAGGGAGAGGAGAAATGCTGGAATACTAGACAGTACCAGTCTGCAAAGATGCAGAATTAGTTACTTACTAATGTTGAGAGACCCATGTGTGCAGATGCTACTGCTGATGTAAAAATATTTGCCGTTTTTCACATTTCAGAATAGGGTGCCCTGAAAGTGTAAATAATTTTAAAGGGCGCCTTGACTGAAAAAAAAACAAAAACAAAGGTTTATACACGAATACTTCGCTCTATCTAGTGGCCAAATGCAGCATTTGCCCCATTTTCAACTAATGATCTACATTCAAACAGCACAGGATATACGATTATTTTTTGTCCCATTTGCACAGAATAAATGAACATGAACTTCCACAGATCAAATAGCTATGTCAATTCTTTATCCAGTTAAAGACCTGGCCTATTATGACAATTTTTGTTTACAAGTAAAAATCACCATTTTTTTTTTTTTGCTAGAAAATTACTTGGAACCAATCATATTTTTTTAGCAGAGGCCGTAGAGAAAATAAAACGGTGGCTGTTGCTATTTTTATTGTCACACGATATTTGCACCACGGTTTTTCAAATGCAATTTTTTTAGGAAAAAAATATACTTATGAATTTTAATGCAAGAAAATAGATTACCAAATTTTCTGGTAAAAAATAAAAGCTGATGTTATGCCAACTAAACAGACAGCTAACATGCCAAGCTTTCATATTGCGCACGCCGATTGAATAGTGCCAAACTACGGTACTTAAAAATCTCCATAAGTGATGCTTTAAACATTTTTACAGGTTACCGGTTTAGAGTTACAAAGGGAGTTTAGTGCTAGAATTATTGCTCTCGCTAGAACGTTAGCAGTACTAACTCACATGTTTGGTGTGAACACAGTTTACATATGTGGGTGCAATGTAAACATCCCTTGTGGCAACAGAAAAGCATGCCAGGTCCTCTTTATGTTGAAATCTGAGATCTATAAGACTCCAGATGTCTACTCTACCCTTGAAAGCATCAGATAAAAAAAAAAAAAAAAAAAAAAAAATTGATCTGATGCAACCGAGCACAGGCTGATGTTTCAAGCAAACCCCCCAAAATAACATGTTTCGTATTTGTCAAACGGGAAGTGACATCACAATGTCATTTCCAGCCACCTAAATCATAAAGGTGATCACAGACAATCTGGTATCTCTTCATCTCTATGGCCAATCATGCAAACCACCAGATGGTAGTCTGAGCTTCTTGCTGCCACGGGTAAGCCTGAAAAACACCGGTAAACAACGGAAAGGGGATGACCCTAAAATCAGACACATGGATTGCTTTTAGAAAAAAGATAATCACAGGTGAAATTTTTAATACCAGGGCTATGGCTGATAGCTGCAGCCATAGCCCCAGTAAACCCTTTGCAAACCGCAATGCATATGTATGTTAGTAGGTCTTCAAGGGGTTATAAATCAACCCCCTTGTTTACGCTGTAGACCGCTCCCTCAGATTTTCCCTTTTAGTCGAGCGCTCTTAGCCTATAGTATTAGGCTTTTTTTCTCAATTGCTAAAAATTCTTCACCTCTTCTAGTGGAATATCCTCAGGGCTATTTTTCTCCTAGAATAGAAAGGCAACAAATTAAAACTGCCTTTTTACATATACAGCTATCATTTGTGACTTTTGAGTTAATGCTGTGACATTCTCACAGCAATTGTTTTTCCTATAAATAAAACCCTAGGTGATGCCTACTTTGACACTGCACTTCGATCTAGCAGAAGATTCATGGCTGCAGAGAACATAAGCAGCATACACACTAAAGCTAGCATACAACAGATGTCTAGAGCACTTCCACTAGTAGTGTTACAGTGAGAGAGGAAGCTCTCAACCCATGTCAGGTGAAACCATACTATAATCCCACTTGATCATTGTTCCTACCTGTGGAGAGATGAATAACACTCATAACCACCTGTTACAGTAACAGGAAAACTAATGGATTAAATGTGCCACTTCCTGTATCATTAACTAGGCTGAATGTTTAAGGATGTCATAAGGGAACAACAACTAAAAAGGAATTGTTCACCGAGCAGACTGCTGCCAAAAGTATACAGTGCAAATGCTGAAAAGATCCAAGATCTCTCTCCAGAATGCCTCATTTGAAAATTATGATCAAATCTAAAAAGGTCACCTGTGCAAGTGCTGTAATTGTTGGGGAAATGGGCAAACGCAACTTCTAATAAAATAAAGATTACAGTGTA